GCCAATTAATTAAAATAATTTTTAGTATTTATATGTGTTAAAATATTAATGATATTGTATTTATTACATTATTATTAGTGATTCTTATTAATAATAAGATAAAATAATGAGTTTTTTTTTTTGTTTGTAAATATTCAATGTGTATGTGTGTGTGTTGCCTTAATTCAAACCCAGACGGCAACATAGTGTCGGCCCAGGTCCGGGCCACATCTGGTACACGTGGATTCCACACGCGGTTAAATGCATCCATATGAATTTAATTCCATTTTAATTCTACTTTAAATCTGAATTCCACTGTCGGTTCAAACGTCTGTGATCGGTGGACTCCGCTCTCGATGTGCGTGAGTATCGCTTATCTTCTGCTGGCGGAGCGAAACAAGGAAGGGCAAAGGGCCCAGCTTTGGTTTAAGATAGTGATGGTAGTTGCGATAACACACACACACACACACGCACGCACGCACCCAGGGGTCATAAACCAGCATTGAGATGATCAGTCTCATGGTGTGTGTTAGGGTACGTGAGCTGTCCTGGGCTCACTGGGTCTATGATTACGGTTATGATCCTGTTGGCAAATGAGATGTTCTAATAAATCATTTCTTTTCAGCGATTCATTTGAAGCCGTCGAGTTTTGGCTGGTTAGTTTACACTAATGTTTAGGGCTTTCAAACGATTAATCACGATTAATCGCATCCAAAATAAAAGTTTGTGTTTACATAATATATGTGGGTGCACTGTGTATAATTATTTTATATATATAAATTCACACACACATGCTTGTATATATTTAAGAAATATTTTCATGTATATACTGTATATAGATTTATATATAATTTATATATGTAAATATAAATATTTTATTTATGAAATTTTTTTTTTTCTTAAATATACATGCATGTGTGTGTATATATATATATATATATATATATATATATATACACAAAAAAAATTATACACAGTGCACCCACATAAATTATGTAAACACAGACTTTTATTTTGGATGCGATTAATCGCGATTAATTGTTTGACAGCCCTACTACTGTTTAAGATTTTGGTCTCTAAGATTGTTGAAAGAAGTGTCTTCTGCTTGTTCATTTGATCAAAAAAACAGCAATATTGTGGAATATTATTACAATTTGTCAAAATAATAATTTATTCCTGTGATCAAAAGTTGATCACATGATCTTTCGGAAATCAATATTGCTGTTCCAATATGATGATTTGATGCTCAACAAACATGTGATTCACATTTCAGTGGAAACTGTGACACATTTTGTTTTAGGATGTTTTGAATGTGGAAAATGTCCTGGCTCTTCCAAGCTTGATAATGGGAGTGAAGCGCATCATGTCAACACATTGCTCAAGCTGGAGTGTAAGTCCACTTATATACGGCCGTCTGCTGGAAGCTAGTCACTATATTTTTCTTACACGATCACAAGGCCTTTATTAAACCCCGAGGACCTTAATCATGAATAGATGCACTTTAAAGGGATACTTCAGGATTTAGCATTCAGCCTTGTATTAGTAGAAAACCTGTAGTATTTTCCAATTATCGTGCTTTCATTCCTCATATCCCCCTGAGACGAGAGATTTATATATTTTTTGTCTGGAAAAATGACGCAAAAATCATAATTTAAGGGCTAAAGACTACAGTCAGTAGTAGGGTCTGTCCCGCATGTCCTCAAGAGGGCGATCTCACTCACAGAATGAACACATAGTGTCGGCCATCTTTGTTTGGAAGCTAAGCTAGCAGGCTCTTGTTCTGTGGAGAAAGCCGAGTAGTAGCGGTTACTATCCTGTTTTTGATGAACGCAAAAGCCGAATCCCGGACATTTTGGGCGATCTGGAAACACACTTTCGGGCAGACTCATCACGGAGACTCACTAGTAGCCTAGACTTGTTGTTTAATGACTGCGCTCTGTTACCGGTAGGCGTGGCCTCCCAGGGCAGCGAAGCAAGTGCATTCTGGGAGTTGTTGTCTTTGCATCCACATAAGCCAAAAATACATTTTCTGGCTTTTCTCAGTTTAGAAAGCTCCAAATAATTTCACATTTCTTCTCTACATCCATAAAGCTTAAAAGAACAAGGACATCTTTAATATAAGCCTGATTGTGTTTGTCTGAAAGAAGAAAGTCATGTACACCTGGAAGGTGAACTGCCCCTTTAATGAGCCCAACTGCACCAAAAAATATTGTTGGTTTAACTTAAATAAAGTCTTAAAAATGTAAGTTCATTGAAATGGAAAAATTGAGTTAATACAATGAAGGTGATTGATTTAATCATCAGAAATATAAAATATTATGTGCTAAATAAATTATTTGAGTTGATTTGACAAAAGAAATAATGTTGTGATTACAAATCATGAAAATATTTTTTTTTACAGTTTTTTTGCAAGAAACTTAAATCGCATGTGAACGAATGTAGTTCCCTACATTTGATGAAGGTATAGTTATGAAGGTATAGTTCCCCATGTGCTGTGGATGGGACTGTCCAAACAAACAGATTCACTGAAATAAATCAGGCTTCCCAACGCCGTTCCCCTCGGCTTCAGAGGGATTGTGTGATTTCAGGGAAGATCAGAGATCAGCCGGGATCAGGTCCTGGGACAGTCACTCAAATAGCCAACGGAGAGCCTTTCCTCTCGCTAAATCCCATCAGCCGACCCTGATCTGGAGTCACACACGCTTTACAGCTGTGTATATATATATATATATATATATTACTGTTTTTGATATTATTATTAATAATAAAGACAATACACATTATTAGTTTATATGAATGTTTAGTATGACTAATATTTATTAAATTATTAGCTTAGTTATTATTATTATTTTATTTTTTTTAGTATAAAAAAGCATCATTATTTCTGTAGATTAATCTAAATGTAAGAATCTAGAAATATAATCTTTGAAACGTTCGATAAACTTAATGGCAGTTTTTTAATGAAGTAAACAACGTCAAGAGGCGATTTTTAACGCAATGTTTTTGTAAATATCCCATATACAGTATAGGCTATATTAAATATTTGCAAAAACATTATTGCGTTTTTCTGTGTCTTTGTAAGTGGCATTTCAAACAAAGTTTTTTTTATATAATTAATTTTTTTGTAAATATTCCATACATGAAAATTAATTATTTAGATTTTTTTTTTTTCATTTTTAACAACTACACATACTTAATTCTACCACTTTTCTCAATCGCATCACGGTTTCATATGTTTTAGTGGGTTTCTTGTAAATGTTTGTTTAGTAAACTGCTCTTGCTTGTCAAATACAGTGACATTCAGGTATTTTTGGCTTGTTTTATCTCTGATCTGCCCGTTTCTCCTCTTATCGCCGCTACCCCGGGTTAAAATACAGCCATTCCTCCCCGAGCGCAGACGCCTCTTTCCCCTGAGTGTGTGTGTGTGTCTGTGTGTGTGTAAGGAAGTGAAGGCCAGGGTTCATGGGGCGGTCACACTCACCAGCAGAGCAGGACTCACTCACACACACACACACACACACATACTGTAGAGAGAGAGAGAGAGAGAGAGAGAGAGAGATGATGGGATGGGACTGATTGAGGTGTTTCTGCCAGTGTTGTGTGGAGGTTCACACACACACACACACACTTTATTTTACAGGCTTTTCCACTAACCATTAAAGTTATAAGTAACTTTAGGTTTCGATGTTTGCAGGCTAAATATTTACTTTGAAAATACAATGAGAAGTACAATCTCTCGTAACAAACATAATATTATATAAGATATATCATAATTAAATGGATTATATAACATTATTGTGATCTTTTAATTTATTCTACTTCTTATTAATAATTATGAGAACATTCTCTTTTTTATATTAATATGTAATATGTATTATGCATTAATAATAAATTATGATTATTTATTATATTTTATCTTAAATATTCCTTAACAATCAAATATCATTATACTTACATACACTATTATATATTAATAATAATAAACACTATTGGTTTATATGATTATTTACTATGTATGATTAATAAATTATTCATTATTTATTATATGAAATTCTGTAGAAAAATCAAAACAATTGTCTAATCTCATGAGCATGAATGCATGACGTTTAAAATTAAAAACAATATTTAAACATTAACATTATGGATGAATCATAAATGACTTATACTTTGTACTAAATAAATCTAAGTATCAAATCTAGAAATAATAAAGTGTATTAATCATTGTATTGCGTGAACGTTCATAAACGCATGAAATGATCATTTAAAGGCGAGATTATCGTCATCTCGGAAAAGATTGAAGAAATCCTGAGTCATTTTGGCAGTTTTAAGGTCACACACACACACACACCCATAAATGTATATCACACACTCACATAGGTTTGTCAGCAATCTAGGTCACATGACGAATGGTTACCTAGGAAACATCTTGATCTTTGACCTTGCCAAGTGTTTGTGTACATTAACAGTTCCTCATGTTGAAGCAGGTTGTGTGTTGTGTGTAGTAGTGTGATGGTTGTGTGTTGTATTGCGTGTGTGGCCGTTTGCCAGCTGCTGTTTAATGACCCGTAAATCAGTCAAGAGTTTAATTTGATCATCTAATCCTTCACTAATGAACAGAAACACACACACACACACACACACACACACACACTTCTCTCTTGCTCGTCTTTTTGTACTGCAGTAGCCAAAACTAATTCATATTATATTGCAAATACGTTAGTTACATAATGATACATATTGATTTATAATATATTATACTGCATAAATAACTATTTATTAACAAATTATTTATATTTAACAAATTATTAAATGTAAATGTGTGTTTATTAGACGGGCTCATGCGGCCTCTAGTGGTCAGAAAACGCTAGTGCATGTTAACACTAAATCAACACGAGATGAAATTTGATCGTATTTAACTTTTTTAATAAATGTGTCTGAATATGATAATTAAAGTTAAGCATGAAATGGTCATGAAAATAATATTACATTACAAAGACTCTCTCTCTCTCTTCGGCCCTCAGTTCTCCCCTCGTCCCGGGACACGCCCAGTCCGATAGATCCCGACTCCATCCAGGTCCCGATCGGGTACGAGCCGGACCCCGCTGACCTGGCCCTCTCCAGCGTCCCGGGACAGGAGATCTTCGACCCTCGCAAGCGCAAGTTCAGCGCAGAGGAGCTGAAGCCACAGCCCATGATCAAGAAGGCGCGCAAGGTCTTCATTCCTGACGATATGAAGGTAATGGGGGATGATTATTTGTATTGTATACCTCCAAATATTGGTGTAGCAAAATATAATATTATTTGTATTGGTGTTGTTGCACAAATATTAAAATATTCATACGTATAATTCATTAGTATTACTTTTATTGTGTAATTATGTTACTATTATTATTTGATAAACCTTAAATTTATTTGATATTATAATAAATTTGTTTATAAATAAATTATATATTATATTATTAAAATATATAAATTATATTATATTTGTTTATAATAAATTAAGTTAAAAACAATAAAAGATAAACAGTTCTTTAAAAAGAGAGGAAGAAAAAAAAAGAAAGAGAAAAAAACAAAAGAAAAAAATAACATCTAAAGGGTATCAAAAGCTTTGCTAAATTTTGCTAAATTTGTTAATTTACTTACTGTACATACAATATATTTAAATTATTTTTTTATATATATTTCTTCAATAAAAGTAGTTGCTTTATTTTTAGTAAATGTTGTTGCAATATAATACATTTTCATAGTCATTCTAATAAGTCTAATAAGTATAATCATAAACATGGAAAAGCCTTCTCTGTCAATATTAAACTTAATATTAAATATTATACCTACCTTAATATTAAACCTATTATAATTATTAGTTCTGATAGGAAAGATGAATCAAATCTAGCCGTCAGGATTGGACACATGACCGTAGCCAATCAGAAACCAGTTATGAGTCATGTGACTCAAATGTTATTATCCATAAATATCTCAGACTGACAAAATAAAATCCCAAACAGTTGATGTTTGAAATGTATTTAGATGTTTTCATATATTTATTTCATGATGAATGGATCATTTTTGTGCTTTTTTTTTAAATTGTTTTTATTGAGCAGTTGAATATAATATAATATAGAACATATTAAAGTGAGAATAATTATGTTTTTTTCTGATTTGTTTGTCTCTCCGTCCCCGAGCAGGATGACAAATACTGGGCACGGCGTAGAAAGAACAACTTCGCGGCCAAGCGGTCCCGGGACGCTCGCCGGCTGAAGGAGAACCAGATCGCGATCCGCGCGGGATTCCTGGAGAAGGAGAACCAGGCGCTCCGACAGGAGGTGGCCGACCTGAGGAAGGAACTCGGCCGCTGTAAGAACGTTCTGGCCAAATACGAGGCGCGACACGGCCCTCTGTGAGCCCCTCCCACCCCCACTCAAGCCCCGCCCACATCCACAAAGCCCCGCCCCCAGGAACTTCTGCGTGCCCCTTTCAGAGGCGCCAAAATTCTCCTCTAATTTTTCACGGTTCTCTTTTCTTTTCTCTCTCAAATCGATATTTGATTTCGTGTTTCGGTGTGTATCTTTCCTCCTCGTAGAATCTCACTTCTCTCTCTTTCCTTCGTCCATTTATTCCTTCACCAACGACGGATCGTTTGTTTCGGGAATGATCCTACATGGTTTCTCTGGAACGTTTCGAACACGGACTGATAAATGTTTCCCTCGCTTCTCGCCCTCCTGTCTGTCAATCACCCGCTCGGCCCATCCCCCCTTTTCCCAGAGGCTCCGCCCACTTCCTGTCGCTCAAGCTTAATTCCGTGTATATTATTGTATTTTAGTTGAATAGCTGTAACGCACCGACACCTTTTTGTTCTGTAAAAGTGTGTAACACTAGCTAGTGTCAGAACATGATGTTTGTTCTTTGTGTCCAACACCAGGGTCGTTTTTCTTTCCTTTTTTTGTTAAATCTTTCCTTCATTGTCCATGGAGCAATAAGCCTGAATCTCTTCAGAGGGCAAAACACATGAAATGTAAGCTCTAAAAGTTTCTGCAAAGCCTGTTTCATCATGTACTTCTCATAACTTTGCTGTAGTGCAGAAACTTTCCCTCCAAAAATTTTCCCTCCAAAAATGCTGAATCCATTATTTGTCTCTCTCTCTCTAACTCCCTGCACTAATGCGTGTTTCACAATCTGATCTGGTGCAATGTTTCTACCTACACTATAATCTGCCTGATATATTTATGGACTTGTTTTTTTTCAAAACATTTTCAGCTGTTAATTACTACAATTGTTAAAGCTGTTCTTATTGTTATGGCTGTATAGTACTTTTCCCTTATTGTTTTATTGGATATTTCAGCATGACTATTGTTTCAGAGTTGCGGCTTCAAGCTAACTGTACATGGGTCTTTTTTTTTTTTTTTAGAAGGGATGTTTTATTCTATCCTTTTTTTATCATTTTTTTTTTTTTTACCCAGAGCATGTTTTTGTTTTAATTCAGTACAAGCAAATATTTGTAGCTTACAAATTATTGTAGTTTTGCGTATCTGTCGGCTGAATGAATGTGTTTGAAGAGGCGTTCACTAAGCAGGACGGTGTTGTCTCAAATACTGTGGTTAAAACCCAATCAGTTTGTTTACTGCAGACCAAAAGATACAGCACACAGATTTATTGATAAAACAGAGTATATATATATAAATGAAAATGATTCAATAAGTTGCTTTTTTTGTACAGTATTTTTCCTATATAATACTGTTGGAATATTTTCAAGGCACAACCAATCCAGAGTAGTACAAGAGAAATATATAATAGCGTATATCTACCTACCTATCTATCTATTATTCAGAGATAATTAAAAGAGAGTTTTGATATATTATGATATAACAGGGAGGAAAAAAGCGAAAGCCGCGATTATGTCCTCGAATCTGGGCATTAAAAACCTTCTGCACCCTCGTTTTTTTCAGATAGCCTTTAGTATTCTGTCTCAGGGAACGCTAGCAGCCGGACCTCACACCAGAACTCGCAGCAACATAAAGATTATATATATGTATATTGTAGTGGTTTGTTTCCCATAGGAAGAAGCTGCAATTCCTCAGTTTAACTGTAATGGACTTTCATTACACACAGCATCTGCAGCATTGCTATTGGTTCTTTGAATGGAAGTCTAAAGGCTACGCTTTCTAGTCTATACAAATGAGTCTTTTACAAAGCAGAGTGTTGATATTGAATGTTTAGTGCGGCAGCTTTTGCTTGGGTTGAATGTTATAAAAGTCTTGTCAATGGAGTCACTGGGTACGTTCGGACTATATGTGAAAAGGAGTGTACCAGGTTTTTGTAAGGCGCGTGTCCTGTAGAAGTTTTTCTGGTGTGAGATCAGTCTAGATGACGTGGGGTTTAAACCCGGGACGGCTGATCTCAGGTCAGGTTTGATTGCTGTTCCTGCTGGTGACTTCATTGTCGACAGTTAAAGTCCCCGTCTGCCCCAGTTTAGGCCGAAATTCAGATGTGCATAATATAGTTGAGGATCGATTGAGGGCAGAAATGGCACTTTCTTTGTTTCTTTTAATTTCCCTTTATTTTTAATGTCTGTTTGTTTCTTTTGTGTGTGTGTGTGTGGTATAAATGCAGATGTGAGACACACGTGTATAAAGCCCTGTGTAGACTGTGTCCAAATGTACAAAACTTAAATAAATCCAGGATTAAGCCAAACTGCTTCTCGTGTTCCTCTCCTTGTTAGATGGGAAAAGTGTTATAGACCATTTCACAAGATGTAAACAACACTGGTCTAGAAGCACTTCCTGTTTCCGTTTTTTAACACTACATAAAAGCTGGGATAAAATACAACCAACAGAACATTTAAGTTAAACAAACATCTTTTCGATATCTCAGCTCTGGAAGGGTCTAGAGCCTCCATTTTTGCACTCAGGTCAAAGTCTCGAGGCCCTCTATCAGAATCCAGAGTTTTGAGAAGATTGGAGAAACTTGATTTTTCGCCCGAAAACGAAAAAAAACGTAAGGGGTAACACTGTCGTTTTTTTTTTCGGGTCGAAATTTTGAGTTTCGATATCTCAGCTCTGGAAGGGTCTAGAGCCTCCATTTTTGCGCTCAGGTCAAAGTCTCGCGGCCCTCTATCATAATCCAGAGTTTTGAGAAGATTGGAGAAACTTGATTTTTCGCCCGAAACGAAAAAAAAAAAAACGTAAGGGTAACACTGTCGTTTTTTTTTCGGGTCGAAATTTTGAGTTTCGATATCTCAGCTCTGGAAGGGTCTAGAGCCTCCATTTTTTGCGCTCAGGTCAAAGTCTCGCGGCCCTCTATCATAATCCAGAGTTTTGAGAAGATTGGAGAAACTTATTTTTTTCGCCCGAAAAACGAAAAAAAACGTAAGGGGTAACACTGTCGTTTTTTTTTTCGGGTCGAAATTTTGAAGTTTCGATATCTCAGCTCTGGAAGGGTCTAGAGCCTCCATTTTTGCACTCAGGTCAAAGTCTCGCGGCCCTCTATCATAATCCAGAGTTTTGAGAAGATTGGAGAAACTTGATTTTTCGCCCGAAAACGAAAAAAAAAACGTAAGGGGTAACACTGTCGTTTTTTTTTCGGGTCGAAATTTTAATTTTCGATATCTCAGCTCTGGAAGGGTCTAGAGCCTCCATTTTTGCGCTCAGGTCAAAGTCTCGCGGCCCTCTATCATAATCCAGAGTTTTGAGAAGATTGGAGAAACTTAATTTTTCGCCCGAAAAAAAAAAACGTAAGGGGTAACACTGTCGTTTTTTTTTTCGGGTCGAAATTTTGAGTTTCGATATCTCAGCTCTGGAAGGGTCTAGAGCCTCCATTTTTGCGCTCAGGTCAAAGTCTCGCGGCCCTCTATCATAATCCAGAGTTTTGAGAAGATTGGAAAAACTTGATTTTTCGCCCGAAAACGAAAAAAAAACGTAAGGGGTAACACTGTCGTTTTTTTTTCGGGTCGAAATTTTGAGTTTCGATATCTCAGCTCTGGAAGGGTCTAGAGCCTCCATTTTTGCACTCAGGTCAAAGTCTCACGGCCCTCTATCATAATCCAGAGTTTTGAGAAGATTGGAGGAACTTAATTTTTCGCCCAAAAAAAAAAAAAAACGAAAGGGGTAACACTGTCGTTTTTTTTTTCGGGTCGAAATTTTGAATTTCGATATCTCAGCTCTGGAAGGGTCTAGAGCCTCCATTTTTGCACTCAGGTCAAAGTCTCACAGCCCTCTATCATAATCCAGAGTTTTTGAGAAGATTGGAGAAACTTAATTTTTCGCCCGAAAACGAAAAAAAAACGAAAGGGGTAACACTGTCGTTTTTTTTTTGGGTCGAAATTTTGAAGTTTCGATATCTCAGCTCTGGAAGGGTCTAGAGCCTCCATTTTGCACTCAGGTCAAAGTCTCACAGCCCTCTATCATAATCCAGAGTTTTGAGAAGATTGGAGAAACTTAATTTTTCGCCCGAAAATGAAAAAAAAACGAAAGGGGTAACACTGTCGTTTTTTTTTTCGGGTCGAAATTTTGAAATTCGATATCTCAGCTCTGGAAGGGTCTAGAGCCTCCATTTTTGCACTCAGGTCAAAGTCTCGCGGCCCTCTATCTGAATCCAGAGTTTTGAGAAGATTGGAGAAACTTAATTTTTCGCCCAAAAACGAAAAAAAAGGTGGGTAACACTGTCGTTTTTTTTTTGGGTCGAAATTTTGAATTTCAATATCTCAGCTCTGGAAGGGTCTAGAGCCTCAATTTTTGCACTCAGGTCAAAGTCTCACAGCCCTCTATCATAATCCAGAGTTTTGAGAAGATTGGAGAAACTTAATTTTTTCGCCCAAAAACGAAAAAAAAACGAAAGGGGTAACACTGTGTTTTTTTTTTTTCGGTTCGAAATTTTGAAATTCGATATCTCAGCTCTGGAAGGGTCTAGAGCCTCCATTTTTTGCACTCAGGTCAAAGTCTCGCAGCCCTCTATCATAATCCAGAGTTTTGAGAAGATTGGAGAAACTTAATTTTTCGCCCGAAAACGAAAAAAAAACAAAGGGTAACACTGTCGTTTTTTTTTCGGGTCGAAATTTTTTGAAATTCGATATCTCAGCTCTGGAAGGGTCTAGAGCCTCCATTTTTGCACTCAGGTCAAAGTCTCACAGCCCTCTATCATAATCCAGAGTTTTGAGAAGATTGGAGAAACTTAATTTTTCGCCCAAAAACGAAAAAAAACGAAAGGGGTAACACTGTCGTTTTTTTTTTTCGGGTCGAAATTTTGAA